GCTCTAAATTTCATGTCATTTCGATCTGTGAAAAAAAAATAAAAAATGAAGCAACAATCGTGACCGTGCGATGAACTTTGAACGGTGATGAGAGTAGACGAAATCACTGTTCATTTTCGCCTATAAGCATTGCGTAGTGTTTTCCTATATATATAAAAAAGAAAGTTAGCACAAATCATCCACCATAAGTTTTGAGGATCCAAAGCTCCCAAAACAACGCAACGACATTGAGTTTAGCACAAAGCATATAGGACATAACAATATAAGATTTCCAATCACAAGAGTTCAGAAAAAAAAAGGCCTTCATATTGTTTGCTCTTCACTAAGAAGCTCTCAAGTGGTATACGATTTCCCTTGCCCTTCCATTCTATGACCAACCAAATTGGTAGTCAAGGAGATAGACCAGTAACAAGGATAGAGGGTACAGCGCGTATGCTATGAAACATGCCCAAAGAGGAAATGTAGTGCGGAAGCTGCCAACAAGTCCCATAATAAGGACTACTACAAGGATAACAAGCACCTCAGCTGAGAAATCCCACGTCAAGTGCCGTACATAAACGAGGGCTAGGAAGACTGCCAAACATAGGATATTGTTCATCGTCACTGCACCGTATATCTGGAAAACAAAAAAGACAAAGAAAGAACATGGCAAAAAATAAGACTCCGCAAACCACTTCAGTTAGTCTATGTACCGAACCATATTCCTTAAGGAGATAACAACATTCTCCAGTAACTTGGTTTTAGATACTTGGCGCTACACAATTCATCAAAGCAAGTACAAGCCTCTTGATGGGTTCAAAACACATTCTAGCTCAGTAAACCAACCTCATCTAGATGGTAGCAGATATTGAGGTACAGAATGGTGCATAAATATCGAGTCAAGGAAGACAATCTAACAATATGTCCATTGGGGTTGGAATACTTGTGAACATTACATAGGAAAGCATATGGCTGAAAAGAGGAGGAAAACTGCCAAGTGAACATTACATAGGAAAGCATATGGCTGAAAAGATGAGGAAAACTGAGAAATGGTACTAAGTTTGAAATATTCCATGGGTGTTAGAAAACCAACTCTAGCGCTAGCTGTCCCATTTTCCGGTGATTGTACAGACTTCCATGTCAAGGAGGTAACCTAGATGGTTTGTAGATAGAATCCTAAAACATAAAATTCAAAGCAATGTAGCCAGAGACAAGGAAAGGTGTACCCTAAAAAAGAGATACAACAAGGCATAAACAGCTTAACAAGACTTCTAAAAAGTTTGTGAAGCAGAAAGCTTTTCACAAGAAAAAAGTAAAACTATTGAAACAGGAAAATGCAATCATTAACGCGCTATATAAAAGAAAGAACTGCTTGTGTTTTACCTTTTTTATTGCACAGCCATGAATTTTTTATTTCACTCCAGGAGTCAGCACCCCGGTGTATATAGCACATATCTCATTCTGTACAGTAATCTTAAACTATTACAAATCTATCAGTTAGTGTGTGAATGTATCATTACCAATCCCATATGAAAAACGTATAATATCTCACACAGTCAAATATGCATTCCCATCTTCAAAGAAAACTTAATATTATTCTGAGTAAATTTCTTCTTTTTTTTTTGGAACCCCTATGGCTATTGTGCGGAAGGTGGCAGCAGGTGCAAGCAACTAATCCTGATAGCAATTTTATTTTTTTGTAACATAAACAAGGAATTAGTGTCAAAGGAATTGGGATTCTAAGGTTTAGCAAAGATCCAGAAGGATGGTAGATGCAAGGTTCACTTGACATGTGGGTCAAAAGTACCGCTTTAAAGAAAAATATGAAGGCACTTCACCGAAACACTTCAAATTGGAGACTGCGCTGGTGCTCAACACACGTCCATGACTTCGACTTTTGCAACACCTAGGAACTTATAGGTCATTTGTGACCTGGTATTTGAAAAACTTGGTTATGCATCAAATCCTGGGTATACAAATTCTAGTATTTATAAAACATGGTTTTAAGAACAATGTTGTATGGTAGCTTCTGGATGAACCTAGTATATAACAAATCCCCTATTTGGCTCATCTAAATATAAAACCGAGGTTTGGTAGTTTGCTGTTAAACCAATTTAACCGTTCCTTATATAATTTGATGATTATATGTTAGTACTTCTCCAATTAAAATAATTTATTGGACATAAGCTGTCTATAATATGATTAACAAATCAGCCAGTTCAGATCTTATTTTGTAGAACATTTTATGGCCAGATTTTGTATTATATCCCTTCTGTCTCTCTCTCTCTCTCTCTTGCCAATTCGAACAAAATCGTATATGAAATATGTAATTCTCAAATAATAATAATTAATTATAAGTAACATGACCAACGAAATATATCCACTTATCATATTATTATTTATAATATATATTTATTTAATCAAAAATTTAAATGATAACTATTCTAACAATAACTATTTTAAACAATAATAATAGCAATAATAATAATAATACACATAAACATTATATTTATAATAATACCATAATTATGATAATTATATATCGATACAATATTACTTTGTATTGTATTTTATTTATATAATACAATTTTTTTTTTTAGTATATTATAATAAAAATATATATTCTTTCATATTATTATTTTATATAAATATAATACGATGGTAATATATTAAGATAATAATGTATTAAAATAATAAAATAATATTCAAAATAAAAATATAATGAAAATATACGTTACAAATATAGTATAATGTTGTTTTTTGTTTTGGACAAGGTTACATACGAATGGAACATGAGACAGTGCTATGAAAATGCTGCTGCTACTGTCTTGACCCAGGCCATTATAGTATTAAACTGTTATATTATAATATAATAATTTTAATAATAATTTTAATATTAAGGAAAAAATTTATATAAGATTGCAACCTTAAAATGTAGAATTACTGATGCACCTAAAAAATCTATCGAAAAAAGGTTGTCTTAATGTCGAAAAACACTTTAATTGATCATCTCGACATCGAGATGTATGAATATGAAAAAAAAAAAAATTTGAATCCTATAAATAGTGCTTCTTGCAACACATTATCTAGACTATTAATTTTCAAGATTTTCATATGTTTATAGTCCTACTTGATTTTAACCATTTTTTGAGTTTAAAATTTGAGTAAATTACGTAAATATCCATTTTAGTTTCCGTAATTACCAAAATGCTGAATACTTTCCATTAATACTGTTATGTTCGTTTTTTGGACTTCATAACAATTTTTTAAAAGAAAGGCGAAACTGACCATTTTTTATTTTTCAAAAACTGAAATTTTGGTTATTGAAAAACCAAAAATTTTAAATTTTTGGTTTTTCAAGAACCGAAATTTTTTCTCTCTTGTAGGTCCTCTGCATATTCTCTCTACCTCTCTCTCTCTCTACCACTATCAATTGGGTCAGTGACATCCTCCATTGAACTAAGCCCAAAGTCCATAATCTTCAAAGGAGAATCCTCACTCTTGTTCAAGAAAAGGCAATTCTCGGGTTTCATGTCCCGATGGACTATATTTGCTTGGTGAAGGCCCCACAACCCACTCGCGATTTGCCTAATAACAGCTGCTGCTCCTGCCTCTGTGTATCTCGTTTGAGCAACTTTCCGATCAAATAGCTCGCCCCCTAAACAAAGCTCCAAAATCAAATGGACCCCACCTTGATCCTCATAAACATCATATAATGGATCACATTGGGGTGAGGAGAAACATCTTCAACAATCTTTCCCATGACCAAAATCTCATTTGTGAGCGAAACGTTTGACATCGCATCTTGTTTCCGTCTGCGTAATCCAGAGGTTGCTTTGCAAATCGCGTAGACTGGTATTCTTGGCAGAAGAGAGAGAGAGAATACGCAAAGGACCCACAAGAGAGACTAAAATTTTTTACTCTTAAAAAACCAAAAATTTAAAATTTTTGGTTTTTTGAAAACCAAAATAGGCCAGATTTCGGTTTTTGAAAAAATGAAATGCGTAGTTTCGTCTTTTTTTAAAAAAAAATTGTTATGATGTCCAAAAAACAGATATATCAGTAATAACATAAAGTATTCGGTATTTTGGTAATAATGAAAACTAAAACGGATATTTACGTAGTTTTCCTTAAAATTTTATAATTAGAGATGAAAATATATTTTAAGATAATCCTAAGAAATTTTTACACCAAAATTACATGTTATGATAAAATTCGAAGGTGCGCCTTAATTGGATTGTTGAAGGTTGCAACCTTATGGAAACCACACCCTAATATTAATGATTTTGATGATTTCACAATAAATAATACAATATATATATATAT